GCTCACATCTCCAAGGAAGGGTGACCGCCTCTGCCAGTCACTCCCCTGCCTCACACACCTCTAACTGAGGAGCCTAACATAGTTTCCATGTTCAGTGTCTGATTTAGTCTCTTTTCTGCATATAAACATCAGCGTTGCTGTGGTAGGGAAGCTGCCGTGTCAGGGCTCTCAAGAGGAGTAGAGCCCATAGAATAAACATGTATTAAAAGTAGATTCACCAGGTTGGCTTACATGTGACATATTGGGTAGTCAAACAATAGTTAGCCAGATACCCAGAGGCTGAGAAACCAGAAGCTTCTCAGTATACCACACATTGCTGGGTTTGTCCTGTAAGAAGTTGTAGAGCAGCCGGGGAGTTGGTGGTGCACGCCTTTAATCCCAGCACTCGGGAGGCAGAGGCAGGCGGATCTCTGTGAGTTCGAGGCCAGCATGCTCTACAGAGCGAGTTCCGGGACAGCCAGGACTGCATGGAGAAGCCCTGTCTCGAAAAACCCCCCAAAACAGAAAGTTGTAGAGCAAAAGCAGGTGTGTGAGGTCTTTCGTCTTGTCATTAAAATGGACATCAGCTTTCAAACGTTGGCCATCAGCTCGGTGTGACAATTGTAAGGTGATTTCTCTGTTAGAAGGCAATACAGTCCCCTTGCATTCTTTCTGCTGAAGGATCTGGCTATCAGACACTTGGGGACCACTGTCATACTCAAAAAGGTTGTTTTGAGTCTTTGACTTGCGCTTCAGCTGTCTTGCAATACTCAGTGCCCACTGTGGTAGGGCTACTGGGCTCTGCTGGAGACATAATTGTTCCTGGCTGTTGTCGATGGTGTTTTTATGCTGGCGCCTAGACATCTGGGATGGGGAAGACTGTAATTCTAGCTGCTGGTATCTGGTCTTGGCCGGTTGGGTGTTTTGTTCCTTGGCTTCTGTTTCCTCCCTGGTTCTTAGGAGAGTGTGGTAGCTGTGTGTCACTTGCAGGAAAGGTGCGAACACTGGGGATTACAGGTAAAATGTATTTCTGGGTATTGGAACCTGAGACTTCGGAATGGGGAAGGGTTGGGGGCCGTAGAGGCGTTTCACACGAGGGAGGAGAGCAGGGTGTTCCACCAGGGTCTGCTTAGTTGGCCCACTGGCAATGGAGGCAGGGTGAGGAGAGAGGCCACAGCAGGTCTGCTACAGAGCTGGGGTGGAGACAGGGGTACTGGGCTTTCAGGAATGGAGGGAGAGGTTGAGATCTGCAGTTAGCGTACATGCTTCTCCAGCAGGAGTGGCCTGTGATCTCCAGGGAGCGCCTGCTGGAGCTGGGCGCTGGGACACAAGGCCATTAGGTGTAAGTAGTATTCAGCAGTGCATTTTAAAGTGTATTTGTTGTAAGTCAGGAGCTTTTGTTGGCCAAACTGAATAAAACATAACCCCTATTCTTTTTATTGTCCAGAAACTTCTCAAGCCTTATAACTCACTGACGAGAGCTTTTCCTGTTTTGTTTTCTCATTTGTTAATACAGCTATGATGTTAGGAGGTTTTTTTTTTTTAATGTTTAAATAAAAACATCTCTTTCAGTGGCTTTAAGGAGGGTGGAGAAATGATGCTAATACATAAGTCCGGTACCTTCCTCTCAAACCAGAATTTTCAATCCTCCGCTACTACACATTCTCTGTATGTAATGTCAATCAGTTTTTAATGATGACTTTAAGAATTGTGTTCTTTTTAAATATATATTTTATTATCTATTCGTGTATGTGCATGTGTCTGTTTGTATATGCTGTGTGTGTGTGTGTGTGTGTGTGTGTGTGTGTGCCCTCTGGAGTTGGAGTTACAGTCAGTTGTGAGCTGCCCAGCATGGGTGCTGGGATCTGAACTCCAGACCTCTGGAAGAGGACTGTGGTTGGGTACCCGTATCCGATGGCTCACGGCCACTTGGGACTGCAATCCCAGGGAATCAGACGCCCTCAGGTCTCTTGGGGCAACCTGCATACACACATAGCACACATAAATTCACTCAGGCACACATAAATACATAAATAAACCCTTGAAAACGATGACCCTGTGTAACCTGATTCCTGTTGCTGCTTTCAGCCCCCAAATAACACACAGGACATTATATTAATTATAAAGCTGTTGGCCGTTTGCTCTGTTTCTTATTGGCTAGCTCTGACTTGATTATTAACCCATAATTACTAATATATGTTTTATAAAAACTTATCTTTTTGAGGATGCACTCCTGAGCACCTGTTGCTCCTGGGAGATCACATGGCCAGAGCTCTCCTCACTACAATTCCCAGAATCCTCCTAGACTCCTAGTCCCAGCTATCTTGTTTCCCTATTGGCCAACAGTACTTTATTCAAACCAATCAGACACATATTTACAGAATGACGCCTCCCAACAACCTGGGTTAAACAGGAGCTAAACAACCGAAAAGAAAACAGGAAAACAGGCTTTATGGCTCTACTAACATAAAATTATAGAAGCGGTTGCCAGGGATGGTAGTTTACTGAGGGGATGAGGCGGGGGGAAGGTAGGGGAGGGTGTGAGGGAAGGATTACAGGGAGTACTATAGTCTCCTTGATTATAGTAAAGGTTTCAAACTTATCTAATTGTACACTTCGTGTGTATTCATATGATTACTTGAACATAGCTGGGGGAAAACCCTCAATACCGAAAGGGCTCTCAACAGACACACAGCTGTCCTGGCCTCCACGTCTCCTCCCCACCCCAGCCCTGCTTCCCTGGGCAGCCACTTTGAACTCTCCCATGCCTTTTCTCCACTATCTGTGGACTGTCTCTCTAGAACTTGAAGAGTCTCTGTAGGTCAGCACTCGGTCCTGTTACTCCAAGGCTTGCCCTTTTCTTTCTCACATCCTAATAACAGTGTTTAGCCGAGTCCAAATCACTGTTAGCATCGCTAGGGATATTAAATCTCAGATACCGCTGTGTCAAGAAGTACGTTTTACTTCTCGACCGTCTCCCACAGTTAACACAAAGACTGTATCCCCCCCCCCCCCAGTCCCTATGCTTCCCGTACTTATGGCTGACGCCTTCAGATGTCTCGATAGTCTTGTCAGACACCCAGCATCGATGTCCCAAGGTGCTCCAGGGGCCGTGCCTCCTGCTCTGCGTGAGTGTTTCTCTTTATTTCTTCCCGGAGCTTTAGTTTTGAGACAGAGCTTCATGGAGCCCAAGCTGGCTTCAAACTCCCTGGGTAGCCAGGGATGGTCTTGAACTTCTGCTCCCTCTTCCCTCCACATCTTGGGTGCTGGGTTTAGGAGATACCACACGTGGTGGACATGGTGCTGGATCCGCACTCAGGCAACCGAGCTACGCCCCCAGCCCCTATAACCTGCCGATCCCCGTAGCCCACTCTCGTTCCCAGGGCTCTCTCCTCCATCCTGTCTCCTGACCGCTTGGTGCGGCTGAGGGCCCTGTTCCGCTCTTCCCTACCGGGTCCCCCGAGTCCCGCATCCCCCCCGCATTTTCCGTCCTCATTCTTTTCATCAGTGTCTTTTTCAGGAATGCCGCATACCTTACCCCCCCTTATTGAAAATAGACTTTTTTTCTTCCACACACAATATATCCTGATTATGGTTTCCCCACCGTCTGCTCTTCCCAGTTCCTCCCCCGTCCCCTCCTGTCCAGATCCACCCTCCCTCTGTCTCTCAAACAAGCTGCTAACGCAATGTGATGGAACCAGAAGCAACACTTCGGAATAGAACAAAGCAAATCAGCAGAAGGAAAAGAGCCCAAGAGGAGCACAAGAAAGAGACCCACTGTTCACACACCACGCTGGAAACCATAATGCATGTGCCAAGGGCCTGCAGGACGAAAATAGAGAAAACTATATATAAATGAAATGAAAATAACGAGATAAAAAATTTAAGGAAAAAGGAAAGCCCTGACAGGATAGTCTGAGTTAAGCAGCCTCCAAAGATGCTGTGGAGTTCATTTCCTGTTGGTCGTCTACGGCCGGGCATGCGGCCTACCCTTAAGAATAGATTGTTTTCCCTAGTGAGACTCCCTTGGAGGAAACTGAAATTTCATTTGCAAGTGGTTATCTGTTGGGGATATCTCTGGGTTAGGGATGGGGACACCTGTCCACCCGTCCTTTCGGCTGCATCTGGTGCAGACCCTCCAAGGTCTCACCTCGCGGAATGTCTGGCTGTGGGGTCTCTGTGTTTGATCCCACCTGCTGCAAGAGGAAGCTTCTCTGTACACACTGCACTTTTTAATCTGAAAGTTAATTTTTAAAATTCCTGCCTGGGCCAAAAGAAAAAAAAATGTCATTAGTTTACCCTAACCTACATTTTTGGCTAGCTGTAGGATTCTATATTGAATGCAACTTCCCATCTGGAATTTAGGATTGTTTCTTTGTTGCTTTCTAGCCCGTGATGCGTCCTCACGTATTTGGAATTTAGTGCATTTGCATATGTCCTCCTTTGGACTCCGCTGCGATCGTTTCTTTGCTGGTCTAATGTTTTGTTTCAGGCGTGCTCTGTTCACTCGTCCTCTGCGTGGGCGTTGGTCATTCAGTCATACATGTGTGAGAGACATCTCGGGGGTAGCAGACACTACCATAGGCTCTGGGGATGGCGCAGGGAATGGATGGAGCAGGGTTCCTGACAAAGCCTTCTAAAATAAAAAGGTGCAACCTACAAAATGGCAGTTTCCATCTCGTGCGAAGGACTCGTACCTGAGTCTAACAGACTAAAAAGTTACTACCTCAAAATTTAATCATGGGGGGGCCAGGCGTTGGTGGCGCACGCCTTTAATCCCAGCACTTGGGAGGCAGAGGCAGGCGGATCTCTGTGAGTTTGTGGCCAGCCTGGTCTACAAGAGCTAGTTCCAGGACAGCCTCCAAAGCAATACAGAGAAACGCTGTCTTGAAAGAAAGCAATTGAATCATATTGAAAGAGGTAAAGACTCGTTTGGAGGGTAAGTAAAACACTATATGCTTGAAGCGTTTGCGATTGACATTTTTCTAACTGTGTCTTCCTTTTTTTAACTTTCTTAATAGCACTTTCTGCCTGTTGCAAATCTGGAATGCTCACCAAACGTTGAGCTCTTCCTTTGCCAAGCTTTCGTACCAACCTGCACAGAGCAGATTCACGTGGCCCCCCCTTGTCGTAAATTGTGCGAGGAAGTGTATTCCGACTGCAAAACCTTAATGGACACTTTTGGGATCCAGTGGCCTGAAGAACTTGAATGTAACAGGTAAGTTACATTTTCCACTGAAAATGAAAACCACAAATACTAAATACCAGTGGCCTTTTAGTAGTGTCAGGTCTCCGCAGTACTAACATTTGACACAAGAAACGTTCGTCGCACACTTGAGAGGTAGGCACGGTGGTGGTTAGCGCTGTTGACCTACTGGTTAGCAATAAACAGACTCAGTTCTTGCTCTGGGGGAAACTTACTGTCAGTATTCAGGCATCTGTACTGGCCTGCCCTTGGGGTCCTGACAGGACACGCCATCAGCTGCAGCCACTAAGAGCACCACCACTATGTTCCCTTTTAAAAGGACCCTGCCCACCTCCCATCCTTCTTTCTCTCCCACCCTCCCACCCCCCTCTCTCTCTTTCTCCCACCACTCCTGTCCCCAGTGACCAGTGGTGTCTGCCCCCCTTTCTTTCTGCCCCTTCTCTCTCCTCTTCCAATAACCCTCCTCTGTGAGTCCCGTTGTACAGTGTGACTTCCCTTCACATCGTTTTAAAATTACAATACTTGACAGTGAGGGAGAAGGGGCGGATAATAACCAAGTCGCTGTGCTAGCAAGTGCAGTAATGTTGTGACAGACTCAACAGAGGAGAGTGCAGGGATCCTGTGGCAGGAGGGAACTTGGCATAGTAGGGCATGAAACCGCCCTCGAGAAGCATAGCGGTGCATAGTGGGGCATGAAACCGCCCTCGAGAAGCATGGTGGCGCAGAGTAGGGCATGAAACTGCCTTTGAGAAGCATGGTGGCGCAGAGTAGGGCATGAAACTGCCTTTGAGAAGCATGGTGGCTCATGGTAGGGCATTAAACCACCCGCGAGAAGCATTCCGTAGCGTGGGGGTTTTCTGCAGAGAGGGCACGGGGGGGGGGGCGGGGAGGGGGCGGCACTCCCGCGCAGTCGCATGATGCTCTCCTTGGCAGTTCACCCCGGGCTTCAGGCCCCCTCCCTTTCCCAGCGCTGATGAGTAGGGAGTTCACCTCAGCTGCCTCTGAGAGTTCAGCCCTTTACATCCTTTTTTATTTGGCAAGATGTCAATCATTTGGTCGCTACTGACCTGCTAGGTGAAATGCGTGTCCAGGAAGGAGGGAGAGAGCGAGTTGGGCGGGGGAACTCGCTCTCTTACTGGAGCAGAGGGTAACGAGGGGAGCGGACCATGGAGCCAGGCACAGGGATGGACTGCAGAGGAAGAGGGGGTGTGGCCGCCAGGAGGAAGCCCCGAAGAGCCGCTTTAATGAGATACGTGGTGAGGACAAGAAAACACAGAGAAAATAAACGGTAGAGTTTCATCTGTGGCCAGAGTTTCATTGGACAGGCTTAGTTCAGAGATAAAGGAGCAACAACTGTCGGCTTTAAGAACTTCCAGGCTCAAGGGAAAGGCAGCCAAACAAGAGGTAGAAGAAACAGTCAGTAGACGTCTCCTGAGGAGGAGACGGGACCCCAGGCACAGATGCAGGAGGACGCGCCTCCGTCGTAATGGTGGATGGAGTCAGGATGGCCCTGAGTGGTGGGGTTGTGTGGTTCCCCCAGGTGCTTGGAGGACGCTGGCCTGCTAGTATCTGTTGGGAAGCGGCTGGTGTCTGGGTCCTGGTGAGTGGGGGAGGTGGGCTCTAAACTTGAGAAGTGACAGGTGGGCGAGTCAAAGATGGAGCCGACTGTGGAGGCTTGCATCGCTGGAGGTAATTGCGTAGCCATGCACACTCTCATAACCCAGCCGATACTCTGCTCTGTTGAAACGCTCTGCGGCCATGGTAGGCCTGAGCCTGTTACCTGGGAAGCAGGTATCTGGGCTTTTCTGCGGTGGGAGTTTTAACCGGCAGATACCGTGCGAAGACCAGAAAGGGTAGCATGAGGGTCTGGAGGGACGGCTCGGTGGTTAAGAGCATTTGTTGTTCCTGTAGAGCAGTTTGGATTCCCAGGCGCCCATATGACAGCTCTCAACTGTCTACAACTCCCGTTCCGGGAGATCTGGCACCCTCTTCTAGCCCTGTGAGGGCAGCAGGCATCCACATACAGATAGGAAGACAAAACATTCATGACACAGAATAAATAAGAAAGAGTAAAACGGAAAGGGGATTATCACTTCGACGTTAATTCGCCTGTGGCTGTCTAAATGGGTGAGGACTGAGGTGAAAACGTGAAAGAATTGCCATGTGGAAACAGCGAGCTTTAAAAAGGCACTGTAGACAGTTTTCGACAAGCACGCTTTCAGACTGGAGCCTGGGTGCCTGAGTTGATTTCTGAAGATAGTCTATCCCTACAGAGAACGGCCAGATTCCTAGTCACCATAACTAAAAGGGACACAGCTGGCTCGCACCTGTCAGTATTAATAAACTGAAAGAGAAGTTATGGCACCATGCCATTTGTACACAGTTCAGAACCTGTGAAACACTACATAAGGTTATGGCCGGTAAGTAATATAGTAAAATACCTTTGTAAGTGCTTGAGGAAAATAAAGTCCAAATTTCTGGTAACTCATGCTCCCGAGAAGAAAGAAAAGAAAATAGGACCGGAAGGGAGTCCTGACTGTGTCTGTGATGTTGCTTTATTTAAAAAGAGTCTAAGCAGCTGGGCGGTAGTGGCGCACGCCTTTAATCCCAGCACTCGGGAGGCAGAGGCAGGAGGATGTCTGTGAGTTCGAGGCCGGGCTGGTCCGACAGCCTCCAAAACAATGCAGAGAAGCCCTGTCTGGTAAAACCAAAAAAAAAAAAAAAAAAAAGAGTCTAAGCTGAACTGAATGGTGTTACTTTCTTTAATAACGTTGAAAGATTGTGACTATTCATTCTGCAGGAATGTCTGTCTTTGTTTTGAGACAAGAGTCTCGCTGTGTAGTCCTAGCTGACCTTGAACTTCCTATGTAGACCAGGCTGGGCTCCAGCTCACAGAGATCAGCCTGCCTCTGCCTCCTGAAGGCTGAGATCCAGGTGTGTGTCGCCACCCTAAACCCAGCGCTTATCCCCTCCCCCGCCCTGTAACTTCAAAAGTGTTTTATTGATATGTGTGCAAATGTTTTGCCTCCATGCAGCAGGTGGATGCAATGCCCATAGATACCAGGAGACGATGTCTAATCCTCTGGCTGTTAACTGCCAGGAAGGTGCTGGGAATCAAACCCAGGTCCTCTGAAAGAGCACCCAGTGCTCTTAACCACTGAGCCACCTCTCCAGCCTCCTGTTCTCTGTTTTAATCTTAGTCTGTTTTATTTTGCATGTGTTCTCATTGTTTTTAAACCATATAGACCCTTCAAAATAATACCAGTGTATCCACAGGAGAGACATGTCTGTGTGTTGCTCAAATTGTGCACAAGCAAAGAGTCAAGCAGCCAATCAAACCGGGGGTGTGAGCCAGGCTGGTCCCCAACCCGTGTCTCGATGGTTGTCGTGTCCTTCTTTAGGAATGTAAGCTCTACCTGTCACTCGTCTTAGCCATCCTAGCTTTCTTCCCCTTGGTCAGATGATTGACAGGTACTGATGCAAACCTCAGAAAAGAGAGGGCTGGCGCTCAGCGAAAACAGCGCTTGTCCAGCGTGTGCATAGTCTCACACATGTCCAGCGTGTGCAGTCTCACACTCACATGTCCAGCGTGTGCAGTCTCACACTCACATGTCCAGCGTGTGCAGAGTCTCACACTCACATGTCCAGCGTGTGCAGAGTCTCACACTCACATGTCCAGTGTGTGCAGAGTCTCACACTCACATGTCCAGAGTGTGCAGAGTCTCAGACTCACATGTCCAGTGTGTGCAGTGTCTCACTCACATGTCCAGTGTGTGCAGAGTCTCACACTCACATGTCCAGCGTGTGCAGAGTCTCACACTCACATGTCCAGCGTGTGCAGAGTCTCACACTTACATTGTCCAGTGTGTGCAGAGTTTCACACTCACCTGTCCAGTGTGTGCAGAGTCTCACACTCACATGTTCAGTGTGTGCAGTCTCACACTCACATTGTCCAGCGTGTGCAGAGTTTCACACTCACCTGTCCAGTGTGTGCAGAGTCTCACACTCACATGTCCAGCGTGTGCAGAGTTTCACACTCACCTGTCCAGTGTGTGCAGAGTCTCAGACTCAGACCCACGCACCTGAAGATAAAGAAGGACCCATTTCCTTGGGATTTATATAATTAGACACGTCAATACTTGGTCTGGAAATCACCAAATTAGGCAAATTAGACATCCTCTTAAATGTTCAGTCTTAAAGGCAGAAAAATATTTTAAATTATGGCAACTAATCGTTTTCCAAGGAGTAGATTTTCCTTGCGGTTTCCTGTCTTCTTGCTGTTATATTTAAGTGAGCTGAGACTTCATGAACAACCACAGTTTTCAGTCAGTTTCACAACTCTACCTGAACCCTAAAGACTTGCACTCAGCCTTGCAAGTCCCCCCTCAACTATGGATGCAACCAGGCCATGGTTTACACTTGGAAAGCATAAGAGAAACTGGGGGGGGGGATCTGAGAGGAGTCGGGGGACAGAGAGGAGTCGGGGGACGATTACATCGTATGTGTGCATGAAATTCTCAAGAATTAACAAAAATACTTCTCAAAGATGTGACAGCAGCCTGGCGTTGGTGGCACATGCCTTCAATCCCAGCACTCAGGAGGCAGAGGCAGGTGGATCTCTGTGAGTTCGAGGCCAGCCTGGTCTACAGAGCGAGTTCCAGGACAGCCTCCAAAGCCACAGAGAAACCCTGCCTCGAAAAAATCAATAATAATAAAAAAAGAGATGTGACAGCTGATGACCTCACAAGCTGATTTTTTTTTTGTCATCTTTGCAGATTGCCACACTGTGAGGATACTGTTCCTGTAACTCCTGATCCACACACGGAGCTCCTTGGTCCTCAGAGGAAAACGGAACAAGTCCCAAGAGACATTGGCCTTTGGTGTCCAAAGCATCTCAAAGCTCCAGGAGAACAAGGCTTTAAGTTTCTGGGGATTGACCACTGTGCCCCTCCGTGCCCCAACATGTATTTTAAAACCGATGAGCTAGACTTTGCCAAGAGTTTCATAGGGATAGTTTCCATATTTTGTCTCTGTGCAACTCTGTTCACATTTCTTACATTCTTAATTGACGTCAGAAGATTCAGGTACCCAGAGAGACCAATTATTTATTACTCCGTCTGCTACAGCGTCGTTTCCCTCATGTACTTTGTGGGGTTTCTGCTGGGCAACAGCACAGCTTGTAATAGGGCCGATGAGAAGCTGGAGCTCGGGGACACGGTCGTCCTGGGGTCGAGGAATAAGGCCTGCAGCGTGGTATTCATGTTTCTGTATTTCTTCACAATGGCAGGCACCGTGTGGTGGGTCATCCTCACCATCACTTGGTTCTTAGCTGCAGGGAGAAAGTGGAGCTGTGAAGCCATCGAGCAAAAAGCGGTGTGGTTCCACGGGGTGGCCTGGGGAACGCCCGGCTTCCTGACCGTCATGCTGCTGGCCATGAACAAAGTTGAGGGGGACAACATTAGCGGAGTCTGCTTCGTTGGCCTTTATGACCTGGACGCCTCGCGGTATTTTGTCCTTTTGCCTCTGTGCCTCTGTGTGGTTGTGGGGCTCTCCCTCCTTCTGGCCGGCATCATCTCCTTAAATCACGTCCGGCAAGTCATACAGCGCGACGGCCGTAACCAAGAGAAACTGAAGAAGTTCATGATTCGCATCGGGGTCTTCAGCGGGCTGTACCTTGTGCCCTTGGTGATCCTCCTTGGTTGCTATGTCTATGAGCTTGTGAACCGGGTCACCTGGGAGATAACTTGGTTCTCCGATCATTGCCGCCAGTACCGTATCCCGTGTCCTTTTCAGGTAGGAGCGGCCATTTGGGTTATGTAAGTGTTTACTTTTCACGTTCCTGGAAATGCATGTTATTAGTCACGGTCAGAAAGTTCGACCTCAGTTTGAGAAGCCCTAAGAGACATAGGGAGTGACTCCCTGTGTGCCAGTCAGGCTGGTTCCTAAAGCAGTGGCTCTAGTTACCGTTATAATACAGCAAGTCTCCCTGGAGTGGTGGTGGCGCACGCCTTTAATGCCAGCACTCGGGAGGCAGACACAGGAGGATCTCTGAGTTCGAGGCCAGCCTGGTCTACAGAGCGAGTTCCAGGACAGGCTCCAAAGCTACACAGAGAAACCCTGTCTCAAAAAAACAAAATAATAATAGTAGTTGTAGCAATAATAATAATAATGCAGCAAGTCTCCTGTAGTCATTTTAAGCACTAAGTTGAAAACAGTTAAATTGGGTTGTAAAGTCAGATTAATGATTATGAAGAATAGGCCTCATCAGAGGGATAAAAGGAAAAGTAAATTCTACTGAATTAGAGAGGGTTTTTTTTTCAGCTCCTCTATTAGTAGGAAACCCTATGTTTGGGTTTAACCTTTTGTGCAGTGTATGCTTCTAAAAATACAAATTGGTTTTTGCCCAACCCATCCTGTCATTCTCAACACAGAAAAAACACAATTGAAAATAGGTTTCATGCGTCTCTGATGCTTACGATTAGCATTAAGTGCTGTATCTAAAATGAAAAATTATAATTCCTGAAAACGCATAACTTCTTAAAGCATCTCAGTCGAATTTTTTTTAGCGAAAATTTGGGGGTTTTAGAAAATAAATTTCAGCAGTATGCCTAAATACTTGGTTGGTTGAGGAAGAAGAATGGTTGAGTTTGAGTCGTCCTGGGCAATGTAGCAAGTTTCTGTCTCAAATAAATCAAGTGGTTAAAGTAAACTAGGTTTTATCTGGCCGGGGATGTCCCTGAGCGGTAGAGAACTTTTCGCGGCACTCGGACCCTGGACCAGATGGCTCCTTTTCATTCCTCTCCCTTCCTCCCTCTGTCCCGCCCCCACTCCCTGTTTCTTCCTGTTCTTTAGCTCCTCCCCAAGAATCCCCTTAAATAATACAAGGTTGAGCAGTGCAGCAGCGTCCGCAGTTGGAACTAGATGGGAAGTAACGTAGGCATGTTTAAATAGGGCTAGCTGAGGAAAGTAAAACTCAGAGAGGAGCAAGCCTTGAAAAGCAGAGCTCTGTGTATGCCCATGTGGGTGGGGCTCCTAGGCGTGTTAATTAGCACACACACACACACACACACACACACAAAACAAGATACAATGCAATCTGTGTAATGCTTTTATATTCGGACACTTAAAATAGCACTCGAAAATGTATGTTGTAAACAAAAGTACGGATTCTCTTTCATGAAATTTCTACATATCCACATCTTAAGGATATTTGCTTTGTGGCAGCCAAACAAATTTTAATAGCATGTGCATTGATGCAGAAGGACTAGAGAAATGGGAGTTTAGATGTAGAAAATGTGTATTTTTTCTATTTTTCTTCTTATGCCTATGAGTGTGTGCTTGCGTGCGTGCGTGCGTGCGTGTGTGTGTGTGTGTGTGTGTGTGTGTGTGTGTGTGTGTGTATACACCACACCTATGCTTGGTGCCACCACGGACAGAAGAAGGCACTGGGACAGTTACAGGTGGTTGTGACCCAGCATGTGGGTGCTGGGAGCTGAACCCGGGTCCTCTGCAAGAGCAGCCCGTGCTCTCAACTGCTGAGCCATCTCTCCAGCCCCTAAGTGTATTTTAGACATAGATCATAGTGAAGGAAGATAGGTAAATACTTAGAGATAAATGTCTTATGAGAGGCCACTCTAGCAATAGGAGAGGAAGAGGTCAAGAAGCCATGCCAAGATTCTGAAGACCGTAAGTACTTTTGTCTGCTGAGGACTGTGTTTTGACACATATTTAAAAAAAAGATCCTTGTTCAATCCGGGCATTGGTGGCGCACGCCTTCAATCCCAGCACTCAGGAGGCAGAGGCAGGCGGATCTCTGTGAGTTTGAGGCCAGCCTGGTCTACAGAGCTAGTTCCAAGACAGCCTCCAAAACAATACAGAGAAACCCTGTCTTGAAAAACAAAAACAAAAACAAAAAAATAGTTCCTTGTTCAGAACATCAAAAATGCGTTGGACTTAAAATGTTCCTCACATTACTTGCTTCAAACAGACTGAAGATTCATAATTTGCTCCAACTTCACTTTGACACTGCAGATTTTTCTTTACATTTTAAGTATATCACCTTTTGATTTGTTTTTGTAGGCAAACCCAGGAGCTCGACCAGACCTGGGTTTGTTTATGATAAAATATCTGATGACATTGATCGTTGGCATCTCTGCGGTCTTCTGGGTTGGAAGCAAAAAGACGTGCACAGAATGGGCCGGCTTCTTCAAGCGGAACCGCAAGCGAGAGTAAGCGTGGGCTGATGTCTGAAGATTGATTTAGAGTGAACAGACCAAAATACCGATGAGTTTACCTAAAGTGCTAACAGTTCAAACCATGGAATAGTCTGTAATGTCACCACGTACTTAGGAGTAAATAGTTTGTCCTGGTTCTTTATATACGTTTTATCTGATATGCTGTAGACTTTTTTTTTTTAATTTCCCACTGATTTGGTTACCAACCTCCTTGTGGTACAGACTTCGTAGCTGTAGCTGGACAAACAGGGACTAGCCATAGCCCCCACCCTTGGCTAGAGGCAGGAAGGTGACAAATTTGAGGTCCACTTGGATGGCAAGACCCTGTCTCCAAAACATTTTAATTCAGAACTGTATGCTTTTTCACTAGTAATTTTTGAAGGCTGGGAATTACATTTCACTAGGCCTTGCTATTTTCTTTGTTATCTGTGTGTGTCTCGTGTTTATGGACCCACACTAGCTTTACTATAACTTGCCAACTTTGGTGTTAGAAGACAAGCAGAGGGCATTGGTTACACCGTGTCCTCTTTCTTCTGGCTTTACCGGTGTATTTAGCGTATTTCTGTGCGATGCAAACACAGTCAGCCCCATTGCACTGATTTGTATGTCCTTGCCTTCCGTCTTTGATGTTCGACTGTTTAATGTCTTTCTGTTAGCAACGAAAGGTTTCCCGACCTAGAAACCCCAGTTTTCATAAAACACCACAGTCAGTGTAGAACTGCTAACCACTGAGAGTCTCCCTGTAACACAATGGACTGAGCCAATTTCTCCACCCCTCCCCCGGCTTTTCCCGCAGCCCCATCAGCGAAAGCCGAAGAGTCCTCCAGGAGTCCTGCGAGTTCTTCCTCAAGCATAATTCTAAGGTGAAACACAAAAAGAAGCATTGCAAGCCGGGGTCCCACAAGCTGAAGGTCATTTCCAAGTCCATGGGGACCAGCACAGGAGCGAGCGCAGACCACGGCACGTCCGCCGTGGCCATCGCCGACCATGACTACTTAGGACAAGAGACATCCACGGAAATGCAGACCTCCCCGGATGCCTCCGTGGGAGAAGGGAGAGCTGACAAGGCAAAGGGACAGGACTGCGGAGGAGAACCGGCTTCCCCTGCCGCGTCCAGCTCCAAGCTCTCCGGGGAGCAGAGCAGCGGGAAAGTTCGAGCCGGCAGCGGGAAGGGGGAAAGCAGTGTGTCGGAAGGGGCCCCGAGCCACGGAAGGTGAGAATCGCGGTGTCCTCTGCAGTTGTCCTCATTTGAAACACAGCGTTGCTCGTCTGTTATCGGCATGGGCCGTGTCTGGAACGAAGGCATCTATGATGAAATACCTGTGCCTTTAATTCAAGGAAGTTTGGTTGCAGCCAGTAAATGTGCTACTTAATAGTTTAGTTCTTAGCTTTAAGAAGAGCCTTTGTGTGTGTGTGTGTGTGTGTGTGTGTGTGTGTATTTCTTTTTTTTTTTTTTTTTTTTTTTTTTGATTTTACAAGACTGGGTTTCTCTGTTTTGGAGGCTGTCGGTCCAGCCTGGCCTCGAACTCACAGAGATCCGCCTGCCTCTGCCTCCCGAGTGCTGGGATTAAAGGCGTGTGCCACCAACGCCCAGCGTGTGTATATTTCTTAAGATAATTGTTACAAGTCACTTGACATTCAGGTAAGTGTTGAAAGCGCCTCTGAAGTACAGGCCAGACCACCATCAAATGTCGTAGCTGAGCATGCCGGTACATGCCTGCAATCCCTGCGCTGGGAGCTGGAGTTATGGGGTCATGAACTTGAAGCCAGCCTGGGATACATACAAGCAAGTCCAAGGCCAGCCTGGGCTACAACAGTAGCAAGAAAGGAACATCTCAGGGAGACAAAACACATGCTGTCCTTCTGTATCTAAGGTGATAGTTTACACAAAGTGATCATAAAATGTTTTTCAGTTTCGGAACCTGGGGAAAATATGGTGGGTGTTTCCCGATGGTCAAAAGTGGCCAAAGCACAGGGTTGTGTTTTTTCTTGTTTCCTGTTCGTCCGTGTCCGCCCCCCAACCCTCCCTTGCCCCATGTTGACAGCTGACTACAGTGAGCTCTCAAGATCATGCTACCTAAGACCTTTCCGACAGGGCTGAATATACTTTGTTCCCATGATGCTTGCGTTTACCTGGCTATAACTAGCTGGCTACTTTACCCTCCACTGGCTTGGTCATCTATCTTTGTATTCTTAAAATCTCGCGTTTTAACACTGCTGGGGAATCAGAAAGCTGGGAACAGGAACCTGCCCGAGGGCCTGCGTTCCCTGTGAGAGCAGGCTCGGCCATTCAGGGCAGAACTGGGTAGAGCATCTGAGGGTTGTTTCTGAGAAAATCCGTTTGCGATTTGAAGCGTTACCCAAGAGCTTCCGTGGATTCCCTTCTGACGGAGGCCAGAGCTCCGTGGGGGTAAACGGGAGGCGGTTAGGGGGATGGTGGACGTCTCTCCACGCTTCGGATTGTGTGCATGTCACCTTCCTTTTCTCCTAGGGCAAGTCCAAAGAGTGGCCTCGCTGAAACTGGCCTGGCGAAGGGCAACAGCCTGCAGGCCCCCAGTTCTTCAGAACCCAGCAGCCCCAAGGGCTCCACGTCTCTGCTCGCTCACCCAGCTTCCGGGGTTAGGAGAGAGCAGGGTGCTGCCGGCCACCAGGACACGTGAAGACGCATTTTATCTCGTTACCCCGGAAGCAAATTCTTACTACACTGGAGACGGCAATGCATCTGTCTTTTAAAAGCACTGTTGAGCTGGGTGAGTAGCTCAGTGGTCGCTCACCCGGAATACTTGAGGACCTAGGTTCATCCCCCAGCACTGCAAAAAGAAAACTCACTGTTACACTCTTCTTTTGTACTCAAACCAGCCTTGTCTACTCTCTAGTTTTCGTTTGTTTGTGTGTTTGTTTGTTTGTTTGTTTGTTTTTGAGACAAGGTTTCTCTTTGTAGCCCTGGCTGTCCTGGAACTCACTCTGTAGACCAGAAAGTCCCACCTGCCTGAGTGCTGGGATTAAAGGTATACGCCTCTACCGCTTGGCTTTTTTGTCTACTGTTATACTGGGGGGAAAATGGATTTCAAGAATAGCACAATGCATTGATACCTGAAAAAGCAGAAATATCCAGGTGAATAATATTTTTAAACTGTGGGGTGGGGGGGTATTAGAGGAATCTTCTATTTGTGAAGATTCTATCATTAAAGTATTTTAAGATATTTTATGCTGTTTCACTCTTTTGATACAGAACCAGGGTTTTTCTTTGCTGAAGTATTTAAAACTTAACATTGAACCTTTATACACCCACACACATACATGTGAAAATACACTCCAGTGTTTGAAAATTTTTGAAAAGTCCTGGAAAATTGATCCAAATATTTTTAGGATGTTACTCTAATAATTTAGCAACTTTGTTACTATGGTAGCTGTTACACTGAATTTTTAAGACACTTGTAAGACAGCGTTCTTTGTAGCACAGAGGGCAGGTATTACACTGAAAGATTTGGAAGAAGCCTTGAGCTTTCGAAGTCTCTCCACCTGACCTCTATATGTGTGACCTGTTTGCATGTCGATGTCTGAAGATCCCACAGGGCTCTGAAGGGAGATGCCTGCTGAGACAGAGTTCTTCTTGACTGTCCCGCCTCCTGCCCTCTGCGTCGTAAATTGGCCGGTGAAATGTTAGTCGTTTGTAAGTTATGCCAAGCATTCAGTTCCTTTTTTGGTTTTTCAAAGTTTCATGGCCCCTCAAGATTGAATTAAATCATGGCCATTTATAGTTGCGCATACTGTTTTATTTTTATTTTTGAGACAGGATCTTACTATGTAGCTCTTTTCTTTCCAGCTGTCTGGGAGGGAACTCAGTAGACCAGGCTGGCCTTGAACTCACAGAGTGCCACTGGCCTCTGTCTCCCAAGTGCTAGGATTGAAGGCTTGAGCCACCACACCCAGCTTTCATTCCTTTTTAAAATTGAAACTTTAATTTTTTTGAGAATACTACAGACACATTGTATTGTATCTTTTTCAGATACTATGCAAAAGAAAGTGTGCTGACAACAGTAGAGAAACAGTCGGGGAAATGTAACCCCCCAAATAAACAAACGTAGTTTGAACAACACTCTTGAAAACACTAAGGAAATGTCTTTAATTTTGTTTCTTATTAAGTACTATTTCATGAGCAACGTCTTCTTGGATGCTTTGGGCCTGTTGGATCTTCTGCTAAAGTTTAAGTTACAATTATCATGTACTGTATGGAGAATGCCGTAAATACTTTTTCCACGTTTGTAAAACTTTGTACACAAGAACTTTTTTGTGTGACCTTTTTGTCAATAAAATTCTCTTTGTGTAAATGATTGTGCCATGTGGTGAGATACGTACACAGGAGACACTGTGATATTTTTTTCAGATTAATGACGGCATCACTAATAAATCAGAAGCTTCCTTTAACTGAGGAAGAAAAAGACAATGGGGACACTTGCATTTTGTCACAGTGTCTTCTTGTAGGAGGCTTTCCTTTGGGCCACCAATCAGTTCCCAAATCATGACAGAGACTTAATATTAGTTGTAAATACTCAGTCTTAGCTTAGGCTTTTAAATTATAAAGGCTAGCTTTTTTTTTTAACTTAAATTAACCGTCCCTCTTCATCTGCATTTTGCCTTGGGGCTTTTTACCTTTCTTTCATTCAGGGCTGGCTGCCTGGGTGGCTGCCCCTGGGTTTTTTCTCCCTCATTCTGTCCTCTCTGTTCTCTCCTCTTTGCCAGCCAGCCCCGCCTAGCCCTCTCCAACCTAGCTATTAACCATTCAGCTTTTTATTAGACCATTCGGGTTCCTTAGGCAGGCAGAGCAGCGCATCTTTCTGGATAAGGCAAAGGGAGCCATGGCCCCGTGCGTCTGTTCCCAACAGTGGCTTAGGTGGTTTGAAGAAACCTCTCCAGGGAAGAGATGCCGAGGGGCAGCAGCATTGCTCTCCAGATACTAAAAACTGATAAAGTAGTGAGGGATTGCCAGGGTAAGACCTTGGAGAATGGGAATTCCTGCCTCCAACCTCAGTGTTTGCAGCTCTGTAGTCTGGGGCCATTGGCTGATAGGAAACATTGCCGAGACGTGGACGCGTTATGGAAAGAGCCCGGGACAGGAGTTGTGACAAGGAGAAACTTGTCATGAGTGTAGAGTTGTGACCTCAACAGGCAGAGAACAGTGACTTCGCACTCTCTGGTTGGGCTAGGAAATGCTCCGGCTCCAGCACTGAACTACGGTAGTTCTGCGTGAGGGACCCTCCTGCAGCAGGCAGAAGCTGATGAAGATGCTTTGGAGGGAGAGAGATACTGTTTACACCCTGTGGATCTGATTGCTTTGTGCTATGGCCTCCAGACTAGCCTGGGGTTGCAGTCCTGCCCCTACCCCCTGAGTGCTGGGATCACGGACCCACACCACCATGCCTGGCCTTCCACAAACCCTTCTAGAGGGCTGGAGAGATGGTTCAGAAGTTAAGAGCACTTGTTCTAAGAAGGACCTGGGTTCAATTCCCAGCACCCACAACCATCCCTAACTGTAGTTCTAGGGGATCTGATGCCGCTTTCTGTCCTCTGTGGGCATCTGATATGCAGGCAATGCACAGACATACACACAGACGAGACACTCACACCCATAGATTACATACGTGTAAGTTTTTGTAGTAGTGTCTATTAGGCCAGGTGTGGTGACACATGTTTTTAATCCCATCACTCTGGAGACAGAGGCAGATCTCTGTGAGTTCAAGTTCAGCCTGGTCTGTATAGTTCCAGGACAGCCAGGCCTATGTAGAGAGACTCTATCTCAAAAAGTACCCCCCAAAAGTGTCTATTCTATAATAAATCAGGCATGATTGACTAAGTAAATCAATTTTCAAAAATACTAATCAGGGGGCTGGAGAGATGGCTCAGAGGTTAAGAATACTGACTGCTCTTTCAGAAGTCCTGAATTCAATTCCCAGCAACCACATGGTGGCTCACAGCCATCTATAATGAGATATGGTGTCCTCTTCTGGCTGGCAGACAGACATGGAGGCAGGATGTTGTATTCATAATGAATAAATAAATAAATCTTTTTAAAAATTCTAATCAGATTATTTGACAAAATTTTCCAAAAAGCTAGTGATGGGTAAAGGTGCTACTAAATGTGTCTATCAATATTAGTTAACATTAAACTAGCCACCATGGTTAATAAGCCTCCGAATCTTAGAAGTACAAACCTTACCTGTACCTAACAGGTAAGATGCTCATGAGATTATACAGCCATGCCCTTGACCACTCCCATCCAAGGCTGTATCATCTTCTTTCCTCCGGAGGAAGGTTACAGAGAAGTGATACACACTCCACCGCTATTCCATTCGCCAGAATGTGGGAACCATTCCTGGCAGGCAGAGGGACTGAGAAGTGTGTGTGGGGATGCTTGCTTGTCAGGGAGGAGAAACAGGCTTGGCAAGCCACCAGCCAACATTTCGGTAGGGTAATGTGATGTGTTTGATGAATCTACTGATGTAATGACACCCTTATTCTTCTCAATAACCTTCCTTGATCACAATATATCACTTAATATGTAAGTGAAGTTGAATATTATTGATTAAAGTAAAAAAAATCCATATACGAGTCCACATATTCTTGGCTCAGAACTTAACAAATAGAAGGCTTGAATGTGAAAGACATTCATTTGGGATACTTTGAAGAAACACTGAAAGTATTACTTCATTTGAAAGAAAGCAGGTGTGTGTGTGTGTGTGTGTGTGTGTGCACGTGCACACATGTATATACATTTTATGAAGTCAGTCTTTAGCTGAAAAAGGGCCCAGTAATTTAGAGGTGATACTGATTTTTACAAGACTCACATAGCATCTTGGGACTGGAGATACGTCGAAGAGTACTGGGTGACCTTCCTGAGGACCTAGGTTTGATTCCCAGAGCCCACATGATGGCTCACAACCATCCCAGGGGAGATCTGACACTTTTTTTTTAGCCTCCACAGACACCAGGGACACATACAATGCACAGACACACATGCAGGCAAAATGCATAAAATAAGTAGATAACATTTTAAAAGGAACTACATAGCGTTTTCAGTGAAAGAAATCTGGCTTAAAATGCCTAAGACCGTTGGATTTACATCTGCAGCAATGAAATTCGCATGATGAACAGTGTACAACTATACTCAAAGGCTCGATGAGATAGCCTCAGAGATCCTCAACAGAATTACATGGAACAGGGGGACATCTTGGGGCGCCCGTGGGAATCCATAACTCCGACACCACTCAAGGTTCCGAAGACATCTTACGTAAACTTCCCAGGTAAAACCAGTTTGGAATTTCCAGCCCTCATCAAAATCGGCTTGCCTGCTGCCTCAGCCCCATCCAGAAAAGTGGCACTGGTGGGCGTGTCCACTAGCTGCCTCTGGCAAACACAGCATTGCCAAGGCAACGGTCAAGTGGACACACCCACCAGGGAAGGAAAGATGTAATTTTTAATAACCACAAACAGCCCTGCCGCTTCCTTTCTGCTTGGAAAGCGCATTCTTCCGTAGCTTCGCTGCCCACGGTCCAAGTCAGAGAGTTTGATTCCAGGTGGCAAAGGACTTAGCCACAGCCACGGTGACCGGTCACGTGCGGAGGAATGAAGCTGCTGGGAACTCGCAGCGTCAGTGCGTGCGGAAGGAGAAAGAGGGGCGTTTAAAGGGCTATAATCTAAAATGGCCAAACACCTTGAGCCCCCGAGCTAGTTGGCAGCGGGGGCAGCGCACTGAAGTTCATGGAAATCATCGCTGCTACTCCCACCCTGGGACCGAGAGCCCCCGATTTCTGTCCGCTCCTCACGAAATCACCGCAGCCCACTCTACTCACAATAACGATGACAATCACGCAAAGTGGAAGCCTGTGCAGGGCCTAATGTCAAAACCCTTGGCAGGATGTGGGGGTGGGAGGTGGGGGGACAGGCAGGTGTCAATGTACAGTAGGCGAGGAGCATCCCAGACTGACCACAGAGGCGGGGCAAGCAGCCTGTTTATTCAGCCAGAAGAAGGGTGTGGCGCACTTGCGCTTGGAGTATAAATCCACCGGTCACATGCCCACTTCCAGTCACACCCATCACAAGGCTTCAGTTACTCACGCGCCCGTCTTCATCCCAGAGGTTGCTGAAGACTTCTACGATAGCAGTCATGGGTGGAGTCTTCTGCAACTACTGTAGGCTGGACTGCTGGGAGGTTATAACTGATAGGAAGTTTTCTGTCTCTAATATAGACTAAAACACCGTAGCTAGGGCAACGTCTCCTGAAGCCGAAGTCTGTGAAGCAGAAGCTGTAGCTGCAGCATTCCGCGCAGCCGGAGTGGGGTTTCCATCCATGAGATTTACTGAGGAGGCAGAGATGCCGTGATGACACGTCAGTCAGCTGCCGATAGAGGAGCTGCGTGGCAGTATCTCCCCAGCCCAGGCAGCCAGGAACAGCAGATGCAAGAGAAGGGGCCTGACATGTCCATCCGCATGTCAGATTGCCAGGGTCTCCAACAGCTTAGCCTACTTACTCGAAGGAAAAGTAACCATTAAAGAGTATTTCGGGTGGTGGTGGCGCACGCCTTTAATTCCAGCACTCGGGAGGCAGAGGCAGGTGGATCTCTGTGAGTTTGAGGCCAGCCTGGTCTACAAGAGCTAGTTCCAGGACAGGCTCCAAAACAATACAGAGAAACGCTGTCTCGAAAAACAACAACAAAAAAAAGTGTTCCTAATGTAGACCTATTAGTATTAATATCACTTGACACGGAGTCCTGTGCAGCCCAGACTTGCTTCAAACTTGCTATGTAGCTGAGGCTGGCCTTGAAGTTTTGCTTATCCACCCTCGTCCTCCACAGCACTACAGACACGTGCCACCATGGTCTGTTTTTACAGTGCCAGGGACTGAATCTAGGACGTCACCCCTTCAAGACAAACACAGCACCAGCCGCTACAACATTCATTCTCTAGAGTACGCCATTCATTCTCTAGATTTGTTGGCAGCAGTAGCATTCTCTTTTCTCAGAAAACGTATTTGTTCTTTGGGGATTGCATGCAATGTGTCTTTTTTCGCATTTTGGTTTTGATTCCTCAGCTCCTCCCAGATCCGCCTCTTCGTTGCCCAGCCAACTTTGTGTGTTTTTTCCTTAGACACTCATTAAGTCCAATCCATGCCCTGTATGTATGTTCATGTATGTGCTTCCTTCCACTTGTGTAATGTGTACTCTTCCTGCCAACTGCCTAGGTCCCGCCGCTGTCTCAGCCCCCAAATGACGCATGAGACACTATATCAAAATTGTGAAGAATTATGAAGCTGTTGGCCGTTTGCTAAGGTTTC